GTTACCACTCAAGAAAGAGATCTTGGAGTCATTGTGGATAGTTCTCTGAAAACATCCACTCCATGTGCAGCAGCAGTCAAAAAAGCGAACAGAATGCTGGGAATAATTAACAGGACAGAAAATATCATGTTGCCTCTATGTAAATCCATGGTACGCCCACATCTTGAATACTGTGTGCAGATGTGGTCACCCCATCTCAAAAAAGATATATTGGAATTGGAAAAGGTTCAGAAAAGGGCAACAAAAGTGATTAGGGCTATGGAACAGCTTCCGTATGAGGAGAGATTAATAAGACTGGGACTTTTCAGCTTGAAAAAGAGACGGCTAAGGGGAGATATGATTGAGGTCTATAAAATCATGACTGGTGTAGAGAAAGTAGATAAGGAAGTGTTGTTTACTACTTCTCATAACACAAGAACTAGGGGTCATCAAATTAAATTAATAGCAGCAGGTTTAAAACAAACGAAAGGAAGTATTTCTTCACACAACGCACAGTCAACCTGTGGAACTCCTTGCCAGAGGATGTTGTGAAGGCCAAGACCATAACAGGGTTCAAAGAAGAACTAGATAGATTCATGGAAGATAGCCATTGATGGACCTATGAGCCAGGATGGGCAGGAATGGTGTCCCTAGCCTCTGTTTGCCAGAAGCTGGGAATTGGCGACAGGGGATGATCAGTTGATAATGACCTGTTCTGTTCATTCCCCCTGGGGCACCTGGCACTGGCCACTGTTGGTAGACAGGATACTGGGCTAGATGGACCTTTGGTCTGAACCAGTAGGGCAATTCTTATGTTCTTATGTCCCCCCTCAGACATGTACCACCCTTTCTGTTCCCCCAGACATATACAGACCTTCCCGTCCCCTGCCACCCGTTCCCCCCAGACACGTACTCCCCTCCCCTTCCACCCTGGAGCTTGAACCAGGCCACCTCGAGCCGTCACAGTGATCCTCCTATTATCAATCCCCTCAGCATCCACTGCAGCTTCCACTTTTCCCTTCAATGCCCCGCCAGGCACATATTCCCTTCCCGGTGCCCTGGTCCCAATCACCCCTGCCCGGCGCTCTCCTTGCTTCCTGCCTCATCACCCTCCTCCTCCTCCCCCTGGCTCTGTCCAAGTTGGGCCGCACCCCAGTCCCCCAGTGGGATCACTCCGGTGGGCTCCTGGCCCAGGTGAGTTCTCTGGTGCTGGGCCATGGCCGCCTTCTGCCCGAAGCCCTTCCCGCAGTGGCTGCAGCGGTAGGGCCGCTCCCCGGTGTGGGTGCTCTGGTGCTGGAGCAGGGCAGAGCTGCGGCTGAAGGCCTTGCCGCAGTCAACGCAGGCGTAGGGTTTGAGGCCGGTGTGGGTGCGCCGGTGGATGTTGTAGGTGGAGGAGACGCTGAAGCTCTTGCCGCACTGGGGGCAGCAGTAGGGCCGCTCGCCGGTGTGGGTGCGCTGGTGCTGCAGCAGCGCCGAGCTGACGCCGAAGGCCTTGCCGCAGTCGCCGCAGACGTAGGGACGCTCGCCCCGGTGCGTGCGCTGGTGCTGCAGCAGGTTGGAGCTCTGGTTGAAGCCCTTGCCGCACTGCGGGCAGCGGTAGGGGCGCTCGCCCATGTGGGTGCGCTGGTGCCGGATGAGGTGGGAGCTCTCCACAAAGCGCTTGCCGCACTCGGCGCAGCCGTAGGGCTTCTCGCCGGTGTGGGTGCGCCGGTGCCGCAGCAGGTCGGCGCTGAGCCGGAAGGCCTTGCCGCAGTCTGGGCAGCCGAAGGGGCGCTCGCCGGTGTGGAAGCGCTGGTGCTGGGTCACCTTGGAGCTCTGGGCGAAACGCTTGCCGCACTGCGGGCAGGGGAAGGGCTTTTCCCCCGTGTGCACCCGCCGGTGCTGTGCCAGGTCCGAGCTGTGCCCGAAGCTGCGCCCGCATTCCCCACAGGTGTAGGGGCGCTCGCCGGTGTGCGTGCGCTGGTGGATGATGAGGTTGGAGCTCTGTGAGAAGGCCTTGCCGCACTCGGTGCACTTATAGGGGCGCTCACCAGTGTGGGAGCGCCGGTGCTGGGCCAGGTGCGAGTCCTGCCGGTAGCTCTTGCCACACTCGGGGCAGGTGTAGGGCTTTTCCCCCGTGTGCGTGCGGCGGTGGCGGGCCAGGTGGGAGCTGTTCCCGAAGCTCTTCCCGCAGTCAGGGCAGATGGTGGATTTCTGCCCCTTGAGGGCTTTGGGAAGGAGCTCGGGGTCCTCTGATCCTTCGGGTGTCTCCCCCGCGGGGTCTCCCTGCTGCCGTCCCACCCAGCCGGTGTCTCCCCACTGCCGGGCTCTGGGACCTCCCGCGAGACTCCGTTCCCACAGGCCCTTCCTGCTGGGGGTTCTCCTCCTCTGTCCCGGCACCTGCTGGACGAGAGAGAGAGTCCAGGCAAGGCTGTGCCGGGGATGGCAAAGGGCTTTGCTACAAAGAAATCAACATTTGTACCAATCCCACAGCCAGAGCCCACCAGACCCTGCTCTGATGTGCTCTGTCCTGCCCGGTGCTGCAGCGGCTCTCATCAAGAGATGAGACTGAGACCCGGGTCCCATTGCGCCCGGCGCTGCACAGACCCTGACTGAGATCTGAGGCCCCATTACGCCGCGCACTGCACAGACCGCAGCTAAAATCAGGGCCCCCTCGTGCCGGGCATTGCACCCACCCCCCGAGAAACAGGCCCTGCCCTCACAATCTAAAGAGGACAGGGAGGCCCAGAGGGGGAAGCGGCTCCCCCAGGCCCTGCAGCAGAGGCCAGAGGCGGAGTTGGGGAATAGAACCCAGGAGTCCGGGCGCCCAGCCCAGCTTCGGAGAGCAACAGCGATCGCTCCCCTGCGGGTCTTCTCCTCTGCGGCCTCTTCCAAAGATCCCGGGTCTGCACCGCGCTGGAAAATCCCCTGAGCTTCCCCGCTCGGCTCGGACCCCAGTGGAAAAGCCCGGCCGGGCAGCAGGACCCCCGGCTCGGGGGGTGAGTGTAACCCACCCCCTGGCCTCCCCCTTCCCTCCCGGAGCCGCGCGTTCCTCACCCGTGCGGGCGCCTCTGGGGAGCTCCCTGCCCGGGGCGCGCTGGAGATCCAGGACCCGCGGCTCTGCCCCCGGCTCCATGCGGGGGGGCAGGGCAGGGGATGCCGCTGGGGGCGGGGGGAGGAAACAGCGGCTATTTCCTACCCACAGAGCTCCGGGGGGTTAATCCCCAGACCCGCCCCGCCCCTGCTGCCCCGGAGCTGGCTGGGGGGGGGGTCTCTAGCCCCCATCTGGCTCCGATCCCCCCCGGCCCTGCGGCGCTTCCTCCGGGCAGCGATTTCCTGCCTCCGCGGCTGCTTCTCTCCCTCCCCGGGGCCGCCCCTGGCTGCGCCCCGCTGCGGGTTCCCCGGGGTGCCGGGCGCTGGGTTCCCGGGCGCGCCGCTTTCCGAGGGGGCAGCTGGGATTGGGAACAGGAAGGTCCCTGCGTTATCCAGACCCCTTCGCCGCACTTCCGACGCCTGAGGAGGAGGGGGAGAGATTTTCCCAGGGAAGAGAGGGGAGGGGCGAGGGCTCACCCTGGGGTGGAGGTGGGTGATGATCATGGGGCCCTGTCCCCGGGGAGGCAGGTGAAGCCCCATCACTGCAGTGATCCCAGTCCAAGAGCCTCCTGTATTTCTTCAACGTCTATACGCCTTGCAAATCCTCCATCGGCACTGGCTGAACCAGCACTGAGATGCAGCCACCTCTAGGGTGGGGGCTGGGTATACAGGGACCCCGCGCCGGGTGCTGACAGTGGCCTCTGGGGTGGGGTGCAGAGGCTGTTTACCCAGCAATCCCTTCGCAGCAGCCACCTCTGGGGTGGAGCACGGCTCTTCTCAGCCCCCCACGCCTGGTTCCAAAGGTTGTAAACTCCAAGGCAGGGTCCGTGTTCTGCACATAACTAATGTCCTTTATTATCAATTTAGCAAAGCTGGCTGGGTTTATTGTCTGGGACAGGGGTGGCCAACCTATGACTCCGGAGCCACATGCGGCTCTTTGGGAGTTAACATGCGGCTCCTTGTAAAGGCACCGACTCCGGGGCTGGAGTAGGGTGACCAGATAGCAAGTGTGAAAAATCGGGACAAGGGGTGGGGGGGGGGGTGAGTGATAGGTGCCTAGATAAGAAGAAGACCAAAAAATTGGGAAAAAGAACAGGAGTACTTGTGGCACCTTAGAGACTAACAAATTTATTAGAGCATAAGCTTTCGTGGGCTACAGCCCACTTCTTCGGATGCAAGAATGCAAGAATCTTCGGATGTAGCCCACGAAAGCTTATGCTCTAATAAATTTGTTAGTCTCTAAGGTGCCACAAGTACTCCTGTTCTTTTCCCCAATTTTTTGGTCTTTTTCTTATCTAGGCTCCTATTACCCCCTACCCCTTGTCCCGATTTTTCACACTTGCTGTCTGGTCACCCTACTCCAGCCCCGGAGTCGGCGCCTTTACAACCAGGAGCATGTTAACTCCCAAAGAGCCGCATGTGGCTCCGGAGTCATAGGTTGGCCACCCCTGTCCCAGACAATAAACCCAGCCAGCTTTGCTAAATTGATAATAAAGGACATTAGTTATGTGCAGAACACGGACCCTGCCTTGGAGTTTACAACCTTTGGAACCAGGCGTGGGGGGCTGAGAAGAGCCGTGCTCCACCCCAGAGGTGGCTGCTGCGAAGGGATTGCTGGGTAAACAGCCTCTGCCCCCCACCCCAGAGGCCACTGTCAGCACCCGGCGCGGGGTCCCTGTATACCCAGCCCCCACCCTAGAGGTGGCTGCATCTCAGTGCTGGTTCAGCCAGTGCCGATGGAGGATTTGCAAGGCGTATAGACGTTGAAGAAATACAGGAGGCTGTGGGACTGGGATCACTGCAGTGAT